ATTACTGACCGGTCCCTCAAAATCTCTTCTCTTCCATTTTTCGTGAATGGTTTCAGAGTTCCATAGTTTTGAATCAGCAATGTCCGTAAAACTATGTAAATATTTTACAAATCAGCCAGGGACTTTGTGCGAACGTAGCATGTTCCCAGTTTCATTTCACCCAATTAAATTTCGATCAACCTCGGACACCGAGATGCTTCAGTTCTCTGGCCGGAAGAAGGCACGAGGTTGCTTCAGCACCTCGACGTCATGTGTGCGTGGTCGTTTGTGGATGGGCAAACATGCCTAGAGGTGAGTAGCAAACACCGATTTTGAATTCACGTAGTGGAAATAAAGACTTAAAAGTTGACTACGTCGAGATTTCACGAAATGATATAATTTGGCAGGCATTTTTAGAAAAAAAATCCTATGGATCACGCGTCCATTTGCAGCGATTTCCTGGCATGTCAGTAGCCTCAATCAAACCTGCACTAAATTCCAATTGGTTCATTTAAAGTGAAATGTGTTAAACAGACGTTACTTAGGCACCTACTCAGCGACACCTCACTGAACCAATTGAACGATCAGTTTAGCAAAATGGTACATTCAGCCAATAGTCAAGAAAAGTACCATCAACATGATTGGATGTTCATAGCATGCCTGTTGAATGCATCAGCTCTGATTATCTGACTCCAATGGAACAATTGAAGCTACTTTTACGTTGAAACCAACTTCTCCTATTAATGTGCCATCGTTTTACTGTCATTTGCTACTTTTCCAAATCAGTAGCAACGCTCTACTGCTTATTTAAGTTCTGTTTAAATGACTTTATAGAGAATATGCTAGACTCAGAGCACCATAGCTGATTGAGGGTCTGTTAAACTATGTTGCACTGCAGACTATTAGGCGCTGAGTGTGGATTATTGTCAATTTCGCTGAATGCAAAAATTTTGTCTTCGTGGAATCCCTATGAGTCGAATCGACTTCTGTCTAGATGGTGGTAATGTACTTGAGCACCAAGACTTGAGACAGGTCAAATGCGGTTCATATATCGCAGTGACAAACTAACAGGTGCATTGTCCTTATTGTTCTACCAATTCTGCAGCTTTTTTTAAGGTTGATAGTCTTGTTTGCTGAGGTACATTGAGTAGAGAAGGCTTGTGAGTAACTCCTTGTGGAGTTTACATCTGTTTCAATTGGATAATCGGTAGAATTTTAAAGAAGCAACATGTGCATGTTTGTCATCTTGCAATTTTCAAATCAAGACTTTAGAAGCAGTCATGTTAAAATGGGTTCCTATTGGTTGCAGATGGACAAAAATATTCTTCACAAATATCTGCTAATTTCCATGAAAAACGCTTCAAAGCGAAACGATTTCTTTTCTTTTGCTGACGAAACACTATACCTTCGTCTGAAACATTGGACAGTCGTTAAATTTTCTTTGACTGAATTACCCTTTTGCAAAACTAAACCTTTTAGGTTTCAGGGAAAGCCTTTCGAACCAATCACAAGAACTGGTCAAATTTTTTTCTTGTTTTCTTCTCAAAAATCCCAACAAGCTATCCACTTTTGATATTTACCGCCTATTTTATTATTATTATTGTGGGAATGAGTTGTTTGGTTTAAGAAAACTCATTCCTGTTACAGTAAAATTCCGGAATAAGAGAGTCGTGCGGTAATGCGAAAATACTTCCAGTTATTTGCTCGTGATTGGTTGCCCAGAATGCGTAAATGTAATTGGTCATCAGCCAATATACACGTGATGCTGATTAGCGGCAAGGAATCAATCAGCTAATAGATACAAGGTCATATAGACCAAGGTTAGTCAATTAACACGTGGCCAATAAGAAACGGTCGTTAGCCATTCGATGTTCCATCACGGAAACAAACAGCATGATTTTAAATACGATGAAAGTTGTACAGATTTGTATTTCAAAAATTCAACCTAATTCGTCTGTTATCGCTGTCATAGTTACTACAAGTTTTCCCACGGTTTCAAAATGTACCATGGTAATATCAAAACCACTTTAGTCAGACGTCAGCACAATTTTTTTCATCTCGAAAGCCTTTCAAATGGGTAATTACCGTGTGTGTTATTGAGCACCGAGGAAATTCACGTGCAGGTACACACCATCGATGCAAGTTCGTGCGCGGCTGTCATTGGTCAGGCCCAAAGCACACTGACCTCTAATTACAAGCACCAAAAGCTGCGCTTGATGCAATCTCTCACTTGGTAAACAGCAATGCCGGAGATTAGAACGATGGATGTGATGTGCGGGAAGCCGACCCGACGTCCTGACGCATCACGACAGCAGACGGTGACCTTCACTGAACCACCACGAGACGATTCGCCTGAGCCCTCTCGACGAAGATCCTTGAAGTCATTTTTCAAGAGGCGCCACAGGAAGGGCAAGAAGACCAGTATTAATGCTGTTTAATTATTCACTTTCTTTGTGTTTTTGAAGAAAATAAAGACTTTTTTCCCAAATAAGTTCCTCCGAGCTTTTAGATTTCAAAACGGTTCAAATTTAGTGCTATATTCAGTTATCTGGTTTGCTAATTCAACAGGAATGCAATTTTTTGTTGGTTTGCCGTAAAATTTGCCGTTATTCCACACCGGGAAGTGATTTTACACACATTTACTTCGCTTAAGTCTTATTAACGATGCTCCCTTTGAGTATTAGGAGATTCCGTGACCTGCCTTCACCACTTTCCCACACTTTAGTAAACACGACCTAATTTATGGACTGGCTGTTGGTTCGATAATCGCGTCATTATTTTCACCTCGTTTAAACACAAGCACACAGATAAATCGCGCAAATGTCATGAGAGCAACTCGTGCTGCCCAAGCCCCACACACGCAGGAAACAGACCACTGCCTGTGGATTCCACTAGGTGTGGTTGAATCTTGCAGCTTAATTTGCAATAATTAGTCCTACTACATCTCCCATGAAAATGAGGTTGTAAGCCTTAGCCATTGGCATCGTTTTAGTGGTAAGTCTGTCACTCTTATTAATTGTTAGCCAAACGGCTCCTATAATTAATCCATGTTGGTGGCCAGTGTTTTGATTTTTGTACAGAAAGAAATGCATGAAATCATTTTCCTTTGGGTGCTAATTAAAATTATTACATCATCAACACATTAGACGACGAATGCATGACGAAATTTAGGGTAGCAAACACAAAGGAACGGTTTAAGTTATAATGTAATGCGTTGACATAGAAACGATTTGAGTCTTCGTATCTAGGCCAATTCATAATGTCCCCTATTTGCGGCATCTGGTCCGTATCACGAGTTGTTACACATGCGTAAGTTTCAGTTGAACACAAATTCCTTCAGAGTGATTTATTAATTCCAACTGCATTTATTTTATTGGTTTATTATCGGGTGTGGCTAGTTGTTGACGACAAACCTCTCGGTTGATCGACGGTTACATTGGAGACAGTTCAATATACACAACGCCTTTGTTAGTACTAAAAGTGACACCAGGTATTTCTTTTATGATAACTCAGCAATTCCGTTATTATCATAAATTCATCACCAGTGGTGGATCATTGGAATTTCAACTGGATGTGTTGAATTAATTTTTTCCAAATGTCAGTGACACAAGATACCAAATTCGTAAGTGTTTTAGAACAGATTATAATCTGCTTTTGTGAATGAACTCAGCATGATTAATTTAACAATATGCTGGTCATCACGAATCGACTTCTGCGTAGCATTCAATCAGTCAATTGTAATCAGAAGACCAATAAACTATCAGTGATTGTGAAATTGTTGCGAAAATTCTGTACAGAATCGCCACCATTGGAGTCGACTAAATCATTCAACCACGGTGTGTGAGAATCTGCAAGCTGCACACCTGAATATGAAAGCTCACAGAGCCTCAAGTTACAATGCGGTCGTCGTTAGCGAAGTTAAAACCGTGTCTCCAAAACGCTGACACCTAATTCCTCACTCAAGTGTTGGCAGAATTGCTTGGAATTGCCGCAGCACAGTATGTCCACATTAAAACACAAAAATTAGACAGCAAAATCATGTGTGTGGTGGGTCAAATTTACCAGAAACTTTGTGTAATTTGATTTAATTTTTGTGTCTCATCCACAATTGTCTTGAATATCTGAATAAAATTTCATTTATTTCACCAGTTGATGATTGGCATGTTTGACGTTTCCTCGATCTCTCATTGGTTCCTCCTACAGCCACTCACTAATCATTCTATAAATACACCTACGCACGCCTGTGTAGAGCAATTATTCGCGGTGTTTCAAATTGACTTTGTTTTAAGTCGTGAATGTAGGGGAAACGTCTCAGGAATCAAATGTAATGCCAAGGGAAACTGAATCACTTAAATAGTTTCTTGTTCGAGGAGAAATTAAATAAAATAACAAGTATTAGAAGAAATGTGGTTTTTTTTCAAATCAAATAAGAAATTACAACTAGGTTGGTATTCTTGTGTGCACACATGGCACTTCATGTTAAGGCAACTGACCACAACAAGGCGATCCACCTGATTGGCTACGATCAATCAGGCGGGTATTCTGCATGTTTTGTTCTGCTTTCTTTCCTCTGAAACGCTCTGTCACCATGACGATATCTCAGCAAATTTAAACAAGCAATTTCTAGAATTTATTTTCCGTAGTTAACGTAACACTTAAGTTTTTGTTTTTAACTTCTGGTCCTTCTATTACAAACAGTTTATTAAAACAAATATGTCAGTGCATAAGAATGGCACATTTGCTTCCTGCGAAAAGCCATATTAATTACCACCATTGTTCCCAAATTTCAATAAGCTATTATGCCTGAGCTAAGAGAAAACCTGTTTTGAGGAAGCAGGCCATGTTTTCGTAACATTAATTCCTCTTCATGGCTGGTAATCATATTGTCCATGTAACCATTTTGCACTTCAAGGTCTGCCTGTTTGCCTATACTCACTGTATATTGCGTAGTCATGGCAACCGTGCTTTATCTGACAAATTTGGTGTGCAATTCACCATTCACCAGTATCACTTCAACACTTATGTTAGCCGCGACGAACAACTTCGACTACGGTTTCGAAGCCACCCTTGCCACCGGGGTACACGACGCAGAAGGCCGACCCATTAACACTGTTGTCGAGGATAATTACTCACGAAACACCAACAGATGTTGCCAGGTGACCGTTAGAATTTTCACCTCGGCGGTGGGCACTCTGGTTCTGCTGTGTTTCTACCTCATTGGTGGAGCCTGGATGTTCCGGTATTTGGAGCAGGGTAACGAGGTGCACGCCTGCTACCTCACCTACAACAAGTACCTCGATCAGTTGAACACCTCGGTGCTACGTGCCACCGGGATTGCCGCCTCAGGGTTATCCAAGGATGAGGTTGCCACGCAACTTCAGAACGCAATGATCGAGTTCGCTGAGGCCTTGTTCGCTCTAGACTTCCAGCCGAGCAAGAACTGCTCGCTGATACATTCGACGTCCCACGGATCGCAGTGGAATTTGGTGAACGCGCTGTACTTTTGCGCCACAGTCGTCACCACTATCGGTAGGCACTGAGGATCCTTGATCGTATTAAGCTGGTCGTAAACTAGATGAGGAGGTCTTTGTTATTTTGATGCAAATTTGATGCTGTAATCACCATTTTTGCCGTTTTGAAGTAGTGCGTTAAGAAATACTAGCAGTTATTTCAATCCGTCATCCAATTACTTGAATCACCGTTTTAAGTTCTGGGAAACATTTCCCGCCAGATAAGTCAGAAAGTGTGTAGATAAAATCGCTTTTACAATTGGTTAATTTATACTGTAGAACATACTGACAATTTGTAGGTATAAATAATATTTCTGACAGAACATCCGCCCAGATTGGCAGAAAACTCGTTAGTCCAACATAGTGCCATCTGTGGATAATATGGTGTTTGAACCGGGATTTACACTATTGTTCTGAAGAATGACGCCATTCCGATTTAAAAATCTTGAACATTTTCGAAAATCCACTATATTTTTCTTGAAGATGAACCAGTGAACTACCACCACTAGCATGGAGACATTCATTGAACCATCTGGCATTTTTATCAATCGATAACCAAACTGCTCCAATTTGCCCGCTTGCAAACAACAAACGTTAAAACAACTTTACTTAAAAGCTAGATCAAGCAATCTGAACCAGCAAAGACGATTTAGAACGTCCGACGACGTGTACTGTTTATCGTAAACGATGCATACTACAACAGTAGATCTTAGTAAACAAATACAATAAATATCGGGCTCATGGCTGTTAAATGACGTTAAACATGAGCAGGCAATTTTAAAATCTGTGCACATTAAGAGCCATGATTGAGACAGCGTAACCTTCCCTTGTTAAAGGCTACGGACATATTGCACCGACAACTCAGTGGGGCCGTCTAGTGTGTGTGTTCTACTGCCTACTCGGTATTCCCCTTCTGCTCATCTACCTGGGGAGCATCGGGCAGCTTCTCGCGTACCTATTTCGCTTCACCTACAGAAACATCTGCTGTTGTCGATGCTTCCGCGACACACTCATTCGTCAACGAAATAGACGCCACATGAGACTAATTCGACTACAGGAGGATCTGAGACGGCACATGGAGGTGCAGGCGAAGCTATCTGGCGAACCAATTCCACCGCCCAGTGTTAGTGCTAAGTTAAATATTCACGGTTTGTTGCTGTTTTAATCAGGTGTGATGGCAGCTGGACCTTTTGGCCGCACAATCTAACTCCCGTTGCATAGTTTGGCGCCAAACGTTTTCTTCAAACGACGAGACGCATCTGATTGGTTGTAGCGTTTGAGTCAAATATGGCGCCATTAAATTTTCACGCGAATCACATCTGTAGGAGCGATATTTAAACTCTTGTAAACTTTTTTAGGACACAAACAGTCAAACCGCGTGTTCTTGAGGCTAACTCACTTTGCACAAAGATTTCAATTTGAGCATGTGTGCTTGGCGTAATTCGGTTGTTTAAACAAAGTCGACTGTTGCCCTTCTAGTTTGCGCCGATTGCCCTGATTGAAGACTCGGATGAAGACGACGAAATACGCGAGATCTACCTGGAATTCCAGGAAACCGAGGAGGCCGGTATACCGATAACCGTCGTCATGCTGGTCATTACCGCCTACGTGACGATGGGTGCGTTCACCTTTCGAATCTGGGAGAAGGACTGGTCACCGATCGACAGCGCCTACTTCGCTGTCATCACCATCTCGACTATCGGCTTTGGAGATCTCTTTCCTGGCAAAGGGCGTCTTGATCAGGTGGATCTTTTTGCTGACAAACAAGCATTCATGGTTCTGTAGTTCTCAGTGGTAGCGTTTTGAATCAATAACCGTCACTGCGATAGATCTTCAACTAGGTTCCAATTAGCTTAATGGCAGTGCACACCCAATTAGTAAATTTTCTAGTGAGATGATCTGAGGTGAGATTTATGGCTTCTGAGGGCAAGGAGTGAGCCCATTGGTTGGAGTCAAGGTCAGGGCAAAAAAAACCGAAAAGGGGGAAGAAATCACAGCGTTTAATACAGTTCTGTCGATTTTGTTTAGCCGGACACAATTTACGAACTCCTGACGAGTGCCCTCTACTGTGTCTTCGGATTGGCCCTCCTATCGATGTGTTTTGAGTTAATGAAGGATGAATTTATAGCCAAAATACGCTGGATTGGTCAATCTCTTCGCATTCTCGGTTCCAATCGTGGTAACCAAGACTACGAGAAAGACAATCAGGAGGCTCTCGACGACGCTGGTGATATGAGTGCCGAAGAGGAAGAAGTGGAGGCTGCTGGACGGAGCCGCTATCGCGCCGATTCCTCTTTCGTGAAGTCCACCCGCTTAAAGGCGTCGATAAGAAAGAAGAACTTCACCAAGTCAAGAGACGATGCCTGGGGAACAGGCGACACCACCAAACTCGAAGACGACTCACCAAGAGGCGAGGACAACCCCGCTTTTGGGGACGACGTGGAAAACGACTTCACAGCCACCATGGAGGACAACAAGGCGGAGGAGTAAACACCCCGAGCCAATCGGCTGGCTGTTCGCGTAGCCCACTTACTCATGCATTTACAACATAGCCCACATCACGCGCCCAATTTGAAAGCTAATTTCACATCCACCTGCTTCGAGTTTTTTGTCATCCCATCTTGAAACTTTCTTAAATTTCAGATGTATTCGTGCTTTTAGCGTTCAAATACATGTATCAATTTTTGGAACTGACTTCACGATTTCAATGGTGTTTGTAGTTTTACGACTAAATGAAAATCATCCATACAGGAAAGATGGAGAGCATAAATTTATTTACAAGAACTCTTTCGCATTGGCGTCGGTGCAGTCGGCGAGGAATTTGGCACGAGGAGCGTCCCGAAGGGTCTTCTCGGCGCGCCACTTCAACGAAGGCAGGCGCGAACAGTCACCGAGTTTTCGCTCAAATTCCATGTAGAGCCGCCAAAAATCTAACGAAAAAAAACGACAACACAAACAGGTCACCCTCACTGTCCAATCAGTTTGCTCAACCGGGGGTCACTACCACCGCACACTCACCGCCAACTTTAGATCCCCAATTCGAGACTGCCAAAGTGTCCATCAGTTTTCTGGCCTCTTTCACGCGTTCCTCGTGTTTCAAGCGGTACTCGTTGTAGGCGCGAACTGCTTCCTCGACGTCTCCGTTGAACTCCGGTTTCTGCATCTTGGAGACGTTGACGAGTTGGAGGCGGAAGGTGAGGAGTGCTAGCCAACGAGGATTGCTTGAAGGGTCCAGTACCTGGAGGAGTTCACAGCGCACACCAGTCGGATACCAGGTCGTCCACGCTGACAGGGCTGCGTCAACACCCTCGGCCTCCAGGAGATGTTGAAGGTCATTCAGGCGGCCCTCAAGGAGCGCGTTTGTTGAGGCGATGGTGGCAGCTTTGTCGCACATCGTTTCACTGATCTACAAGACACCGACAAGCAATGCATTGGAAGTGGAAAGGAAACTGGTGCACGATAACGACAATCCACATACCGCCTTCTCTATGTTCTCCTTCTCAGCTATTTCCTCGGCCTCAAGTTGCTTCTGTCTGAAATCGAAAATGTAAAGGCATGACACACATCGAAACCCGAATCGGATATGCCATTTCGTTACTAGTTACCTGTCTGACAGTTGATCGACTAGCGCTTTGTTAGCGAAGGAGAATTTCGTGGCAATTTTTATCACAGATGCAATATCCACTGAAGTGCACTTCGGCAGGGTGAGAAAGCGCTCAAGAACCAAGTTGAAGGTTCCACCTGAGGCCACAACGTCCACATCCTCGGAGACCTCAGCCATCTGGAAACACAAAACACCTACTTACACCTTGCAAGTAAAACTTGAAGCTCGAAAAATCAAGCGAGGAAACGCCACCCACAAAAGTTTCCGCGTCGGTTCTATCATCCGCATCAACACTCGCTGCCTGTTTTTGCCGAGAGAGAACTCGCTTTTGAAAGAAATCTGTCGCTGAGGCCTCCAATTTGAGCAGCTCCACAACCAGGAAGACGCTGTCCTCGTTCAACCTCAAGCCCTGCACTAGGATCCGACGGGCTTCGCGTAAACCACTTATCAGAGTGCGATCCCAAGTCAAGCGAACTTGACGGCTTATGGCGTCCCGCAGTTTCGTCAACTGTAGTGTCTCCAGCCCTGCATTAGCAAATGAAAGTAAAGTGTTTATAAATGAGACTATTTAGAAGCGTGGCAGTGTTATCAATGCCCGAAACACAAGCACCTACGCAGAACAGCTTTTTCTTGTGAACACGTGGGATTCTTCATGAGTTGGGCGAGTTTTTTTCGTGACTTTTTGAGGGCTTGTTTTTCGGTTCTGAGTTTATTCAGGGCTGAAAGGGCCTTTGCGCGGGCGCCGTCAGTTAGATGGAAAGCCGCCGCAGCCGACCACAGCCGGGGATCTGTTCTCCCATGCACCTGTAAAACACGCTCCCACAGACGAGCAACGGTCAAGTGACGACCCAGTTTTCGATTAAACAACAGAAAACGCATCCACACATCTACGCGTGATTGAAACCGATAGCAGATTTGCTAAAAAACAGCAGGAGAAATCAACTTTCGCAGCTAACTAGGTGGTAGCGAGAGGGCATGGGACTTTGCTTACCTTGTGGAGTCGAACGAGACGAGATATTACTGATTTTTCTAACTTGTCTTTAAATCTGAAGTCCATAGTTTTCTAAACGATCAAAATTGACATTAAGGAGTTAATTTGTTACCAAACGGCGCAGGGATATAAGTCTCAAGATGCCGAGTTCGGTTGCTATGTAGGATTCATAATCAGATATCCGTTTGTTACGTTTCTGCAAACTGTACTCGTGCTGCCTTCTGCGACGAACAATTTCCCTACAACCGGATGAAAAACTTAGCAGCTTCCAATGATCAAAGTCGAGTGCAAACACATTACCGTTACAAAGCAACATTGACACATTGGCTAGACAAGACTAAGCAACTGTAGTCATGACTAGGACATTGTTTTCTTTGAAACACAGAATTTTAGGCATGCACCTTCAACCCAATACACATCTAAGAAACACCCTCAGAATTTATGCTGCACTATTAGATGCAGACTCGTGGCACAAGCGACGCCATAAAATGAGTTTTGCAGTAGTTTTATATACCAGAATACAGCCACCCTGAACACAGAGCTACTACGCCTAACAACCACTGGGGGCACTAGAGACAAGATCAACGAGGTGTCGGCATGTCAATTTTAAAAAAAAATTCAAAGACTTGCAACCAGCATGCAGTATTACTACAAAATTGACTGATTTAATCTGAGGTAATAGGCAAAATTCAAGATATAATGAAAGTTGACTTGTGCATTTAAAGCATTAGGTTAAGCCTACCGAATTTCTTCTTCGTTGAAAAGCTTTGCACGACGAATGTATGAATATTCAGACAAGCTATCTTCAATATTACGTTCAACGACTTCAGCCATTGCAATCTTCGAAGTCAAGAATGGATTGCAACAAACCGCTCAATTATACCTTGGGATTTCACGTGGTAGCTAGCCAATGATGTTGCAGTGTACGAATAACTGCCAGGCAATTTGTGGGAAAATAATTCCATTTAATGCGAGCTTTATTTCTTTTCCATCTCATTCTTTTGATAGCGAAAAAATAGTTATCAGTTAACGTAATCGACAATTTGGCCATTAATTAGCAAATATCATAAACAAAGTGCTTTGCAATGTGTTCAATACAAATCCGGCCCATGTGAAACGTCTAGCACTATATAACCTGATTCCTGACTTCTTTGTATTTAGTCCTATTGTCGTTTAGTTTCTAACCGATGAGGATAAACTCCAAGAAAAAACTCAAATAGCGAACTACATGCACCTAAAGAACATAATCCGGACACATTTACAATATATTAACACTGGTGGAGGTAGATAAGACTGATATATGGTAACATAATTTAAATACGGCAATGTTTAAGGCATAACAATCCTAAAAACTTACCTTAGTTTTTTTTTGAAAATCCATATCGTAACTCAAATTTATAATCATTTTTTTTCAATTAGATTGATTTTAAAATAATTCAAAGGTGTGCTACATAAATTAATTTAAAAAAAATTATCTGCGGTAATGGTTTTATCATAATCTTATTGATCGGTGCCTATTTACTCGAAACTCTCCTTAAAATAGAAAGCTTTTCTATGTATACTTTTGGTTGCTTCCCTACAATGACATCTACGAAGCCTAAATGACTAACTCCGACTATAGGTATCGTCACTTTATCAGCAGCGATGCCGTTTAACTATGATCTTAGTACTTAGATAAATCTCTTTGTAGAATCGTGATCCATTTTGCATTGCCAATCATTTTAAATGTTAAACGGCAACTTGCACAAATTTTACTACGTTATTAAATCATGCACACCTTTATATTAACTGATTTCGAAAGTGTTTTGGCAAAAACACTTGCAAGCTCAATTACACATATACCTGGAATAATTTGACAGTGCTATCAGTGTGGTGAATTACATTCACGAAACGATAACACTATGTAAATCTAACTACACGATTCGTTTGTATGGTTATCACTGATTTAAAAAAGATGTTCAAGCTATTTTTGGAATAAATTATCAAATGCAAATTTTTGGAATTTTTTAAAAAAGCTTGGCTGTCAGGCCCAAATTTAAGGTCTTCGGGCATCCTTCAAAAGCTTAGATCTTCGGCTTATAAAATACCCCGGCGCTAATATGAAGAAGACTACTACAACAGAACAGTCTTTATTGCATAATCACATGCCAGAACCACTAGCAGGCGCCGACCATCCGATACCCCCACGCTGGGTGCGCCTCTATTTATATACTGCTCATCATTCGTGCCTTTCTCTGGTTGGCTGCATGCCTTCCTAGAAGGTCATAAGATCTCAGAGAGATAGAGAATTGGCTGAGGCCAGTGTGGTCCAATATGTCTGCGCCCTCATACGTCGCCT